ATAATAATTTGTTAATATTATTAAAGTAAAGTACAACTTCGGTAGCGAATCTTTAACGTTTAAAGCATACCGGATATTTGTAGCTGCCAGCTGCGGCCTTTAGAGGCGGCTCCGGACGATTTCGCCATTGTAAAATACATGGGATTACTGTAAAAATAATAGGTTTTTTTAAGCTTTACATCTTATTTCGGCTCGCAGCTCCCGATACCAGATAGTCGCCATCTTCAAGTTTTGATATTTTGTAGAGAGAGAAATTCTACACAAAATATATCTTTTTCAAAATATTTGAAGACAGATTTTTTTCTATGCTTGTTTGAAATTTTGTTTTTATTGTATCTTTGTGAATTTTTATCGGAATTAAACTATTTAACATTTTTTTAACGGACCAAATTACAAGCCTCCAAAAATAGGCTCGTCAAGCGGCAATCTGGCAAGTTTTGCAAATTTGGGGGGAGGAGTGTAACTTGGCGGGGAACTTGGCGGGGAATTCACTTTTCCAGGTTTTCTTTGCGGCTTTCTTTATGCTGGCCTAGACTCTACTAATCAGAAATAAATGAAAAAAAATCTGAGGGGGTGGTGTTCAAAGGTGAGCGATTTGGCATATGGAACGAAAAAAGAAAATAAAGTATCATTAACAGCAAAAAACCGTGTTTAAAACTGAATAACCCTATACATTTTCAATTTTCTAACTCGACTTTAAAATTACAAATGAAAAACAAGAAGCTATAGCTGATAAAATAATTAAAAAGAATACCTCTGCGTTATAACACCAATATAGGGATTTTTATCACCGCCTTCCTTTTCCATACCAGCAGTGACCAAGATGTTCCAAATAGGATCTAACTGAGTTCTCCGATAATACAAAAGTGAAGTCAAATATGCATGCAACATTTTCGGGCTCAAATTAGCCATAGGATCATAAGCTCGTAATTTGCAAGTCTTAAAAAGATTTCATTGAAAAAGTTGACTTAGAAGATTTAACAGTAAAGCCTTACCTGTCGTTCAATGACATTTTGGAGCCACTGAAAATCTGCGTAATCACCTCCAAATGTAACGACAACATCGTCATTAACTCGGTACTGTCTAGATACGTGCTTGTACCGTGCCATTTTCCCATACGAAACTAATCGGTCAGTCAGTATTGCGACACCTTCGTCGTACGAGAAAGCAACGACAGTCGTCCCAGTGCATGTCGGAGTCCTAAGAGACATTAAAATAAGGAATAAGGAGTGATGTTAGATATTGTTCAACAGATTTAAAACGTATTACGCAAAGATACTTACAGTGTCCGATAAAGTTCCATCTTTTCAGCTCCTAGAAGTAAACTTTAAGTTATGTCAGAAAAGTTCTATAGAACTGATAAACGATAAATAGGCGCATAAATGTTGATAACAATCTTACGTAACGAGAGTACTCAGACAATCCTGAACTCTTGGACCTTTTGAGCTGTCGTGCGGGCAAGCATCAATAACAGAGGAGTTTAGAGGGCCGGAACCCTTTGAATAAAGTAAGACTAAATTAAAATACCTAGGAAGAAAAACATGTGATCTAGAATGCCAGCAATTGATATTACGAATGTACTTTTGGCTTTTGCAGAAATCTACTCAGAAAGTCAAAAAGAGCAACTCCAAACTACATAAAACCTCTATATCTTTCTTTCCAGATGGCTTCATTTGATTCTTTCAAGATAAAAAAGTTTTGTGCACAATAACTAATGAGCGTGGCCCGCAGTGTCTACGTAACTCCTAATTTGTGCTAAAAGCTTCTCACTTTTAACAGAAGTTTTCTGTAATCCTAAACACATAATTAAACGGCGACTCCACTACCCGGTCTTAGGTCTATGACAGATGATTTAGTTAAAAAAATAGGCAACTGTGAATGAATTCAAAAACAACAAGCTTGTACATTACATTCACAACACTACTTCAAAGAAAAAAGTCGACAAAGCCGATGCGCTAAAACTGCATACTACCACTCAGTTGACGAAAAAATTATATCTAATTGTTGGCAACTTGCCTTTTCCAGACGTCGACTGTGCCGCGAATTTTAAATCTTTTAATAAATGCATTTTGGGATTTTTCTGATGCTGCACTGTATATGGTTTTGGCAGAGTCAGACCACTGCTGCTGAAGAACTTCTGTTTTGAAAATGAAGATCATTTCTCTTTAGACACAGTCAAGAAACCTGATTCTGTGTCGATCTGCTTTGTTGTACAAGGCCGATTACAGCTGCTAAATTCTTCTGATTTAAGTGTGTCAATGAAAAGGAACAGCCGAATATAATGAAGAAAGGAGGGAAAGTAACTGAAGATCAAACCGCTATAAAATCCCTTAGCTCTCTTTGAGACAGAAAATAAATGTTATTCTCATACTAAAGATCTTAGCCGTTATCGTCTTCTTAATAAGTCAAAAAAACTTCCCCGTGTTTAGTATATCTGTACTTTACCTAACTTAATTTTCGTACAGATAGAATTGGTAGAGCTCAGTGAGAATAAGCATAAGGTTTTACAAGCAACGTGTGCGCTAATACTTCTCGTATATATTAGTCGTTCCTTCACTGGGTTTTGGGGCTTGCATTTTGCATTCTGACTGCAAACGGTGTCAAAATAAAGTTTCATTTTCTGCTTACTTATTAGTGTGGGCGGGTTCTGGTATAGAAGTACAGTTATCCTTTGTCTGAATACGCTTCCTGTATCGTCCTCTTCTCAGTCCCACGGGATAACATGGGATATCTGCATAACATAATTCCATCTGCAACTGTCGTTCTCGAGAATTTCTCTAAGGTAAAAGTACAAAACTGGTTGCTGTATTAGATCGTTTAAGGCACAAAGGAAGCTTGAAAGTTTGAATTCTTATCATAATTACTTCGACTCTTGCAACTTTGTCTTTGCGTCCCCACCTGAAGCGAAACTTTAAAGTGAAATATTAAAGCAGAATCCACGTGTCAAGACTGTAGCAGTTGGTGCGAAAAACTAGGTTTGGTTTTTACAAAAATTTGGCTAGAAGGTTGTGAAAAACTGGTTTTTAAAACCGAACTTGATTTTTTTGAACAGTTTTTTTTTTCGAGATAAAGTTTTACACGGTTAGCATAGCTGCTAAGTGTGTCACTTATGTACAATCATCCGGAAAAGTATCAAAGCCTTTCGCAGTTTTTGCAGTCGTTTCCTCGGAGTTTAGATGAATGAGACGGCGTTTTGTAATGTTATATCAGCGTTTTTTGATGAACAGTCCTCCAACCTTGAGTGGCACGATGAGTCCGCTTCTTTCAACACTTGTCAAAATTAATAGCTGGGTTCTCTTTAAAATTTTCAGTGTCACTTCTGTATCCCAATTTCAAAAAATATATATAATTAGGGCAAGTTACAAATTTTCCGGTTTCGGAATGATGTAGGCAGGTCATGACAAAACTTGGCTGATAACTACCAACTTATGCAGCTAAAAAATGGGATTTGAACGCGCTTCGTACACCTTCGTAAAATAGAAACTCGTGTTATTCAGGGCAAAAAGCTTACTGCAGTAGGACAAAAATTTTTTGCAGAAATTGGTTTTGAAGAATCACTTGGCCAACTTCAGAGTATTGTAGTCAAGAAGTCATCGTAGAAGGAAGCACTAAAACTCCATTCGTCCCAGCTTCACTGCTGCTCTTGCATTAAGATTTCGATCCACATCACAGAGTGTCTTTTGTATTCCAGTAGGTTGAGAAGTAGAGAGTAAATCAGTATCAGGGGTAAAAACTGTGGGTGGCTTAAATTCGTGTTCCCTTTCAAACAACTGTTGTCTTGCGCTGCAAGTTTACAGCTTCAGGATGATAAAATTTAGTTTGTGGATGGGCTAAGTGAAGGAAAAGATTTGAAAAATAACATACTTTATTTATTAGAGCTGATTATATTTCTAGAAAGCGTCCCTTCAGTTTTTCACATAAATTAAGCATAAAATCAACCGAGTTTACTGGAGAAAAAAATAAATAGATAAACCTTCAATTCCATGGGAGCAGCTTTCATTAAATAAGATTTGCCTACTGCAGGAAGACCGCGGAGAAAGATACCCTGCCGTGATTTGCTCCTTTTTTATAGCGAAAAGAAATGTGTAATAGAGGTTTGGAAGGTTTTGCGCATGGAATGACCAGAATTTGACAGGTGCTGCTTCCATATTAATCTTTTATACATTAGCTTTTGTTATTAAATCTGCTGAGTCTGGTGAAAGATGTAGTTGTCAAAAATGGGATAATTTAATGACAGAATTTACAGCTGTCCTTAACTGGATTTTGAAGGTGGAACAGTCTTCAAGGTTTTTTGGAGGATAACGCTTTAAACAAGAAAACTGCTGCATTATTTTACCAAGAACGATGCAAAGAAAGAGAGTAGAATTGAAATTGTCCGATAAGACGAAAGTATCAGCAAGTAAGCAGTATATCAATTGCCTTGAAATTTCAGTGTTTCCTTCAGTTAACAAAATGGTTAATTTACTCTCTCTACAATCGTTAGGAATTTATAAACTTTCTGTGATAGGGCATGGTATCAAAACTAATCTCCTCCACTCATTCTTTCTCGACAACTTTCGCTCTGTAATATGCCACTGCCCCAAAAATCCGGAAACAACCAATATGCTTTATTTTTGAAAAAAAAGTATCTGAAGGACTCAAATCTCGTTGTATGAGACAGTACAACGCAAAATTCCAATTTTAGAAGCAATTACTGTTATAAACTGCTTATTTCAAAAAAGCCCAGACCGTCAACTAATATTTTCATTTCGTTTCGATCTAATTGACGAGAATGATGAAAGCAATTCGCAGAATGGATCTGCAAACGACCTCAAATTAGCTCAAGAACATAGTACAAGAGTGAAATTCTAAACTTCGAGCCGCTGATTTGTAAACAGCCAAAGTTACATAGCAGAGGATGATATCCAAGTGGCTTTCAGGCGTGAAGAGAAATATAATCGACTGCCTTCGGCAAAGCAATAGTACAATTTTGCTGCTCTTATTATGGAATGTGCATCTTTGATTCAATGACTATGATTGCTCCTAAGATGCACATTTTCGCACTTGTGTTACTCATAACATGGTTGCTCAAGTGCTGGCTCA